TTTTTTGCATTGGAAAGTGAATTTCTAAATACCTTACATATAATTACATTAATTACTGTGGATTCCTTAGTGTAATATAGAAGATGCAGAAGAGGAAAGAAAAGGAGAAAATGGGCATTTTGAAAAGTTAGTCTCGAAATGTAAAAATGTATAAAAAAAAAAAGTCGTGATCGTCCATTTTTGTGCCCGTTTGTGGCAATCGTTTTGGCTGAGAAGAAATTGTTATGTTGTTTTCTGGTGCGTATAGAACATATATGCAATTGTTTTATGTATGAAATACTGTATATATAATTGTGCTCTCGTTTATTCTTTACCCAGTAAAAAGAAAAAAAAGTAATCAAGAAACATACTCCGAAAACAAAACGTGTTTTTCAGAAGAAAAGGAGTGTGTAAATCATCGTCGCGGTGATGAACGAGGATTTTAATTCGTCCACGAAAAATTTGACGCGTTTTCGGAGATCATAAATGTTTATAAGACAAAATTCTTATCGTGCTATGATGGAAGAGATCAAACAAAAAACTGAAGCCATCAGGAAGAAGCAGGTGAGATAATTTTCAAATCATTTCATATTATGCGTAACACATTTTTAATAATTTTTTAAAATTGAATAAAAAAGGTCATCAACCGTTATTCGCACGTCCTCATTATTGATTGATATAGTTGTTAACATATACAGTATTTCTTTGTTCAACTTGGGATCCAAGAAAAATTTATTCATATAAGCACAATTTCATTTAGCTGAAAATATTTACAGAACTTGATTTTTTGCAAAATATTGTTTCACAATAAAATATGCAGCTGCAATAAATGGATAAATTTAAAATACCAAAATAAATAGACTGAAAGCATGTCTAATGTGACCCAGCCAAGTTACAAGCATTTCAATTTTCAATCAAAAATATTTACAATTCAAGTACACATCTGAAATTATAAATGTATGCTAAAGGGAAAGGAAGAGTCAATTGCATTCAATTTTCTTCTGCATCATTCATCTGTATGCTGTGATTTAAGGAAAATATGCACCTCAACTCAATTAAATAAATTGTGATAGAAACTAATATACTATTTTAAACTATCCGCATTTGATGTCACCTATTCTTGAATGAATGAATGAACAGAAAACTTTATTTGCCGCTTTTCAGCTTTGTT